ATTCACGCGCAAATCGCCGTCTCTGCTCTGCCCCTACTGCGGCGCATAAGGTGGACGTCGTCGGTCACGTCGGTAGAACTGTCAGTAGTTCCATAGCCGGTTAAATTGAAGCCTCTGAACTTCGACTCATGCGTTAGGGGAGGGAAGGGAGAGAGTTAAGTCGGCACCATGGCAAATCAATGCATCCGCTGATAAAACAAGTTTGACTTACCTGCATCAGTCGCAGCACGCTAAGATCCGTGGATTGGACGACTGCCAACTTGTGAGACAACCCTTTACCCTCGGCTAATATGACGGGGTGAGTGCAATACTGGTAGCCAGGCCATAATGACGCTATCGCAATGTGGCCCGATGGAATTCTCACTCCTGCGAGATTCGGGCGCCCTTATTACAGTCCGGTCTATGCATTAAAGAGTGGATCTTGTGTGGCACACGTTGCTGGGCTGTTTAGTTTTGTCTGCCACCGGCCCGATCCCGCTTCCGGTCATCCCGACATTGCCCTCCCCCTTCGGATCTAGATGAGTGAGTGAGGAGGAAGTATTGCTGATGTTTCGCAAGTCAATCCCACCATAAACTAACTGACGCGCAAGTAACCGATGATGCGCCAACCGCGTGGGGTGCGGACTGGACGTTGTTGCTTGAGACGGTCGAACTGTCAGTTACACGACGGCCGCATCCTACACACCTCGATCGGTGAGCGCCTGCTACCATTATATATTCCCGATCGAAACCGACAGGGCAACAGGCTAGTGGCCCAGTGGTTAGAGGCGTGGACTTCTAACTAACAGGTCACGAGTTTGAGCCTCGGGTGTTCCAAACTTCGGGGTTGGATATGACTGGCTGACGATGGCTACTGAGCCAGAAATGGCCATTCCAGGCTCTCTTGTCTCTGTCGGCAATAACATACTGCTTATATCATGCGCCGCTGTGCGGCTGCTAGTTGAGCTCGAGATAGAGAACCAGTAAGGCAGAACGGAACGAGTGAGTTCCGCAGGAACGATCGGTGAGCGTTCGTTACCACGCCTCGTAATCCCTGTGTCCTTCCATTTCATTCTATTTCTGACGTCATTTACAGGTTTAATCAGGGATATGAACCTTAGGCATAGTAAATGCCTTCCTTTTCCCAACGCTCCTTTGTTTGAAGGAGAAATCGTAGAAAATAGGCGTAAAGGTGGTATTTTATTTAAGCTCGAGAGAGGAAAAGGCATGTCCACAGCTTGTGTTTGCATCTTGATGACCAACGACGCGGAGCACTTGCTCAGTTCATCATTTGGAAGTGTTACTGTGCTGGAGAGGCAATCTGCACCTTCATCGCTGTCAATCCTTTTGTTTACTTCCTCGAATATGAGTTAGCCATTCAGCCTACATAGTGATTCATCTTCGAGGAGCCGATTTAAATATTCCAATGCCCCGCTACCGTGCCAGGTCTGTCAAGTTACGAACTTGATGAAGATTATGTGTATATTCTCCTTCGGCTTTACGGTGTAGGCATCAGTTCGTCCAACATCTGATCCTCTGTACAGCAGAACATATGGAGCCGTAGTGAGCTGGTTAAATTGGCATATTAAATCACTTGACGGAAGAAACTCGAAACTAATTTTTGCGTTTGCAGCTTGTGAATATTATGCGGCTTCTTAACTTAATCTAAAAGGTTTTGACGCTAATATTCGTTTCAACTTTCGGACCCGAAAATATTTGCTCTGAAGGATTTACTACAAGGTAAAGCAATCATATCTGAGGAGAACAAATCGTTGAAATTGCTTTTTGTGGGCGTTTATTGTCCTTGAGAGGGGAGCTCTTCAGTTCCATATTTTTAGAGGAATTACTAATTGATGAGATTGTCCTTTTGGAAAAAAACAGTCAACATACGGATAAAAAAATTCACTTGGGCGCCAAAATTTGGGCTTTTAAGACTAGTAGACCTCAAATTCTACTATGCTCCGCCGAGAAGTTTGCTCCAATTTCGCCGAAATCTTTGCAACTGCAACAGAATGGGAATCTCCTACAAGATTCAGTGCAGAATAAGGTGTCGTAGATGGAAAAACCCATGAAAATCGAAGGGTAAAATTTAAATGATTGCAAGGAGTCCCTTGAATAATGGAAAATGCATTTTTTATGTCAACCGCCGACACAATAGTGGAAGTTTCGTTTCTGGAAATGTTACGAGGACATTCCAGACAGTAGGGCGCCCAGGGCTATTTCAGAGACGTCCCCAACTCTGCAGTCTGCAGTGTCTTTAGTAAGAAAAGAGTGCTGATGTGGGATATAAATCCCGTCCGAATCCGTTTGTCCCAATAAAAAGGTAAAACAAACATAAACATCAAAATTTATTGATAAACTTGACCTTGCGCTGGTAATTCCTAGTCTTTCCTCTTACATACAGTGAGTGACCTGTCAGACGATATGTTGGCCGAAACTCTGAAATGCGTTTTCGGTTAGGAAGGATTACTTAGGGTTGTTGTTGTTGTTTATCATGGGGACATAATCGTGAAATATTTCAGACTTGCCAGGATGCGTGCCTTCCAATGCACCTGTTTTCGACCTCCTGCAGAAACCGCACTCGGTAAAAAATGTCGTCTTACGAAGTATGTATTTTTCGCATTGATTTCGATGGTCCTATAAATTTAAATATATTTTATAGAAAACTCTCATAAAAATATGCCTTCTTTTATTTTGTTCGTGAAAAATTACGTTGTCTTGACATTTTATGCCCGAAGAAAACGTATATTTAGCTTTTGAAGAAGTTCCTTCATCTCCGAAATTTTTGAGTCTCATTGGCCATTGCATTAGCATTTAGCGATTTCTGCCTAGAAGGTGTATGCTTACGGCCTAAGAAAAATCACATATGTCGAAATGACTTTTAGAAGGTACTATAAAGTGTTCATAAAATTTTGCAATGGAAGCGGGCTATGGTATACATTTTATAGGAGCATTGGTAAACTAAAAGGTATGATGCTGTATGAATGGATATTGCAAAATCTTAAAAAGTCTTATAGCTATAAACTTTATTAAAACCAAAACGTATCCTGTATTTGAGTAAAAAATGTAAGGATAACGTAATTTACCACAAAGCCAGTAAACGAATGCATATCTTATGCGTGTTTTCCATAAAATATATTTGAATATATAGAACTGCCGAAAATGAATGTGAAAAATACATGCTTCGTAAGTAGTCATTTTTTACCGAGTGAGATTTCTACAGGAGGTGGAAAACAAATGCGTTCAAAAGCATGCATCTTGGCAAGTCTGAAATATTTTAGGATTATGCCCCACGATAAACGGTATAACAACAATACCTAATTAATCCTTCCTAATCTAATACACATTTCAGAATTTCGGCCAACGTTTCATGAGATCGGTCACTCTGTGTAAATTACCGTACCCCTTTGAGTGACCTTTTTATCCATTAGTCTGGGTCAACTTATTTATGAATTCGTGGTTGTCTTATTAGCCTTCTGAACAAGTTCAAGCTGTTGTACATCCATTGCATGTTACGTAACTACAGGAAGCAAGTGATAAGCTGTCGCTGTTTTTAAAACAACTCCTAATGACAGAATGAAAACGACTTGCTTAGGTTTACACCTCTCATTTTCATACCCTTCGCTGTGTGGCCTCACAGTACTCTCTACTTCAGAAAACTTCCTAGCCAGGATGCTAAACAAAATCATGTTCGCCTACAACTGTCATAATGCGAAAAAGTTGACGCCTTGCGGCAGCCAACTCGGTTGACATGTTGAAAGAAGTTGTCCGTCATGAAATAGTTAGTGGACCGTCATACTTCATAACATGTTTATGTGGACTCCAATAAAAAATGAACTATCGAAAAGTGAGTTTAAACTTCATTACACATATTCAGTTTTAGATATTTATTTTCGTGCCTTCGTGCGTGCTGTCCAGAACTGCCGATTCAGCAAATTAGTCGTCCGTAAAAGTAGGTTTTTTCATGGTTAAGTAAACCTGCTCATTATGTATTTCTATGTCCTGGTTTGTTTAGTCATTTTCGATGGTGTATTTTGGATGGTATACTGGGGGCAGTTACTCGGCTGTTCCGAATTGTTCAAGAGTTTCTGGGTGCTTCTTGAGCTTTGGCGTATATTATGGTTCCGGAGTTATTGCACTTGGATTTGATTTTATCAAAGCCATAAAGGTGGCTCAATCCTGCTCCCCGCAAAAGCCCAATCCTTGAGTAGACACTCCCAGTACAAATAAATATGGGGTCAGTACTATCCATGCCTTCATCCTCATATGTGCTACCTGTGTGTTTGGAAGTGTTACTTTGCTAGCTGTAGCCCATCGGCCAGTTTTGCAAGTTCGTGTTGTCATTTGGTCAAGTCATCTTGTAGGAATCAAGGAACCTCAGTATGAACTAATTACCACGCAGTTCCCCGGCACTGTGTCGTCATTCGCGACGGTCGAACTGCTGTCTAGTGGCTAGTTAAAAGCAGTAGGCGAAGAAGGGCAAGAAGACAGGGGGGCTATGCTATCAGCTATAGCCGAGGCTCAGCTGGCCTGCACAGCTGCCCAACTGCCAACAAGGGTCAAGTGTGTGTCGGTGATCGAGTGAGTGAGTGTAGAGACATTTTGCTAATCACGGCTAACCGTAGTTTGTGCGAAAACCCGTCGCAGATATCAACTTGGGATACAGGAAGAACCCTGGCATCACGACTAAGACCACGTTTCTTCTAATTAAGGAAGGAATATGCCGACTGTGGTCATGTGTTTGGAGCAAAATCCTTAGGGTGGGGACGGCTTTGTCGAGGGTCCATTCTTCACAAATTTTAGCGTATAGCAGATATCAGCCCTAGAATTCAGAATAAGAACGCAACAGTATATGGTAATGTTTTGTACAACTGGACTAGGGAGCCGAGCCAAACAGTGTTCGTAGAAGTTAAGGCTGCTGTCGGAGTCCCTTAAGTCAATCGATAAAAGGATGCTATCCGACTGCTTCAAGTTTGAGCGAGGACGCATAAGTGAACAGTTTCCTCCGTGTGCTACGAAGCTCACTCAAACTCGAAGGGCGACTTGGCGAGAGAAGCAGCGGAGAAGTAACTGGGCACAGATCCGGGCGGTCGCTTTGTCTTTGGAGGCGCTGAGGGGAGTTCGGTTGAATCGTCCTTGATGCTTTGGGAGAAAAAATAATGCAAGTGACCGAATCTATTTTCTGCTGTGGGGTTTCCACAATTATATTTCTGAGGTATTAAAACGATTTGCTCGAAGATTTTGCAATAAAAATCTAGGATACTCCTCAGACGCCTGAATAGTGCACACCAAGACCAGGCAAGCAATGCTCATTTCTGAATTTACACATAGAACCGTCTTTGAGATAACATGCTTTGCCTATGGGACGGAGAACGAGCGTTCCGTTCGGCCTTTAATTTCTTTTGTCTAGGGGACCAGAGACAGTCACATAGTGAGAGGTGGTTGATAGAATGGAAGTCACATTGGCAGTAATGGGGGCTTAAGGGCTTGTTTCTGTCCAAAAGGGGACTAAGGGGTCAACTGAATGTCTGCATTTCATTTTGCAATCAGCACACCTTAGTATTCATCACAACTAGGTAATTTTAGACTTACAATGGAGGTGGAGAGAGATTATTTTCGTGGCGCAACTGACGATCATTAACCTCATCGAGAATTTGCACGCAGCGTCAAACATCAGGTCGTTCTGGTATGTGCTGGGGATGTGGACGGCTGACGGATAAAACCAAACGACTGTCTGAAGCGTCCTTCGTCTGAAATATTGCCCAGGTAGAGTCAACTTTTCAATAGATTGAAGTAGACGGGAATCGAGAAAGCTCTATTTGGAATCTTTTCGGCCGTCTTCCAAATTATTTTTACTGATCCTAAACACGCCCCCGTCTACACTTTTACATCCTTGGTGCCGCCTGATATGAGTGGGAAAGCCTGCTGAGACATGCAGTTTGCGATCTGAGCCTTATGCTTCCATTACTACAGCAGAATCCAGATATCACTCATTACCATCGGGGTTACATAGTGATCAGTCAGTGTCAGTGGATGAGTGCACTTGGGCCCCATATTCCCTCCGTGCTTCACGGCTGCCCTCCCTACCAGTTTTACATCCTCTAATGACCGCAGCTTGCATAGATGGCTCATGCTCAGCACATGTAAGTCAAGTTTAGCCAAGCTTCAAGAACACTGCATTAATCCACATGACGTTTATGGGGTAAAGCGTAAGGGATGCATACCTCCTTTCCTTCCGTTTGATTTTGCCTCCGGACGGCAACTCAGAGGCGCGTCCCCCCTCCACTGCTGTTTCATGTGAGGACGGTAATCCAGGCTCTTTTGTGGTCACCCTGGGTACCAGTGACTCCGTATGTGGTACCGACATCTGCGTAGGTCGGAGGTGGTTATGAGGTGCGGTCAACAGCACCAGGCATGTGTCGCCCAGGGCCAGCTGGCGACAAATTATGCCGCAGTGGAGATGAGCCAGTTGTGGTTCCCAGGCTGACCAACCAAATGTTCGCACGAAGAAGGGGTTGTCGGCGCCGCACCGATGCTCGAAAGTGAGTGTCAGCTGAAAGAAGTGGGAGGGTGGGAAATAATGCGTGGTCGGTCATTTGGACGGCTTGCCCTGAAGTAAACATATCTGCCTGTTGTTTTGGCAGTCAACTACAATCTGCCGTATGAAGGGCAACTGGCTGTAGTGTTGTCAGAAGACCTGCTCCCATTCTTCATACTGTAAACTGTATTTTTTGGGAAAACGGTTTTGTCGGTGGAGAACCATGTGCAGGTAGTTCAGGAATTTGGTATTTATTCCATGAACTCAGAAACGTCTGTGTACAGGGGGTGCACCATGGCAGTCGTGAAAACTATCAAAAAATCTGGTCGACCGTCAGAAAATCTCCAGAATTGTAAAAATTTCGGTTGAATGGATTAGTTAAATTCCTTAGACGCACCACTAATTAACCACTTGGATCTTTGCAACGTATTTAGCATATCTGATACGTTAAAGTTTTTTTATTTCATAATTTTGTTTTTTAGTAACTGCTTATTTATCACAGCTTCTTTGTAGACGTCGCACAATCAGCCATCTGCTGATATTCGCAATTTTTTCTTAGATACTAATTGATTATCTGCGGATTGTGTATCATTATGCTTTTTTTCTTATGTGTCCTTTGACATTCCACAATTTCAGTCAAGCTAGTGAAGAGGCATTCTCTTCAAGCACAGTAAAGCGTGTCAAAAAACGTTGGCATCATTTCTCACTCCGTCATAACGACATAAATTCATGTGAAAGAGGGAGGTAGGCAAGGGCAAGGTGGGACCAGTAATCCCCTATATAAGAGGCACACAAATTCACATACAAGTAGACGAACTTCCTTTACCTAGACCCTATCGAAACCACTGAGGCAGACCTGACATTTCAGAAGTCGCGAGATACGAGCTCTAACGTTATCAAATAAGTGGAAACAGTGATGACTTCAATGCAGTTGCAGTAGAAGACTTTCAGTGCGTCTACCTCAGTGTCTATACCCGCATCCAACATGTTCTGATGACAACACACGATGAGGATAGGAGACAGAGTCAAACAGATCATCCACGCGAGGCGCACACGACCCGCTCCTGGAATCCACACGTACCCGGCCTCAATGGGGACTTTGGGAGCTTGCACAAGTTGAGTGCCACAAAGGTCACGTTGAGAATGAAGCATTGCAGCTGACCCTCAGTCCTGAATATTGCCGAACTTCCCCGTCAGTTGACAGCTCTCAAAGTCACCACCTTTTATACGTGATGGTGGTAGATGCGTCAAATGTGTTATTCTAAGGAACACATTCATGTTTTTGTTTTGGGAGATGGTTCAGGATCGGTTTCATTCGCTCCTCCCTCTTTCTCATGCACCAGTGGTATGCGTAGACCCGCCGTGCGACAATCTGGCCCTCTTTTTATTCAATACAGCAACAGTTCAGTTCGGTTGGAGGTATGCGGGGCACATTCTGTTAGTTAGATATCTATTCTATTTTCCCATCTTTGGAACTCTTGAAAAACGCCTGTCAAAGGCAGCATTGCCGTTGGTGTGATCAAGGCTATGTCTACTACCTTGTCCTGATCTGTCTCTTTAAGCGGACGCTTCATGCGTATCTTCTGCAAAAAGTCAGACTTGCCCCTTCGTCCTCACGTATAGCTCTCCTGAACTGAACGTTTAAGACTCTTTTTAAGCAAATCTGCTGGTTATCCTTCTTTGGAGTGACAGGCTGCGGGTATCAGTAGAACAGACTATTTTGTTTGCCATTTCAGTTGAACTTGCAAATCCTGTTGGGCAACCGTTGCGTCAAAAGCCTTTGGATTTCTAATCTTCCACCTCCGTCTATCACTGGCCGCCACATCGAAGCCAAGTGTGTAACTGGCTACCTGTTCGCGGTCGCCATCATCTGGGGATGGAATCGCCAACCCGATTGTTGTGACATCATTCCGGAGTCAATAAATACTTGATCTGCTCCTGCAAGCGTTTCCTGACGTGGGTTACTTTTAGCCCCATCTTAGCGCCATTGGTAGGCTCGCGTGTAATATTTTTAGCCTTGCTTGATAGGCGCCGCTAGACGATCGGCAGGGCTGCAACTGACGTGGCTGCCGCACTTTGACTTCAAAGACAAAAAGCCGAGTAATTTTTTAGCCGTTCTGGCGTACAACTGCCACCTGTGACAACCGCATCGTTTGTCCTTGGGAGAACTCGCTCACTGACCTTGGTCCTGCACCTGAGTTAGCTCCTACTGAACGCTCATTTCATCACAAGCACCTACTAACTGGTGGTGATCTAGTCCAAATGGACCACTTCGTTGAAAATAAAAGAGTTAGTTAAGAACTTTCTACTTTCCTGAAGACGAACTAACACATGGGTTTAAAAGGTCAAACAAATGCACAGACTTTTTGGGGAGATTGAAATCTCTCCTGTTTCTTTCGAATTAATTCCCTCCTTCTCTCGCCGTCCCCACACCACCATGTGGCCGCCGCCGACTTCGTCTTCTGCGCAATCTGCTCAAAAAGGAGTTCCTAGCCAATCGGAACCCGTGTAATCCCGCTGCAGTTGTTTATGCAAATAAGGCCACTGACACCCTCGGTCTTTCAAACAGCAAATGTGCATATATAGTATCACGCGCACGCAAGTGTGTCTAACTAGCCCACTGTGAGGGGTGGATCGCACGGCAGCTGTAGAGCGTCGAACAATGCTGATAATCAGCCGGAAGATTCACCTCATTAAAATTAAATAGATGCAACCCACTGGGCGAACAATTCCTCTCCCCTCTCCCCCGCTGCCTGTGATTTCTGCTCAGCGTCTCTGACTGAACTTCGTTATCCTCCCAGACCACGAAACTACTAATCTAATACGAGCGACTGTGCCGAGGCTAAATTACGCGGCCAGGCATGAACCAACCCCACTGTCCAGGGCCAAAGGGCGAGGTTGGCTGTTGTCGGGACCGTGAAGGAAAACATAATGGTGGCGAAGCGATGATGGTGATGAGGATGAGGAGGAGGGAGGAGAAGAAGAGAAAAACTAGCACTGCGAGTATACGTGGCTGTTTGCTTCAGCGACCGCCACAGGGGAGAAGAGCGGCTTAGCGATTAACTTTTCCCCTCTCACTCCCCCTCTCGATTTTTCCCTGTCGTCGCCGAGGGGTACGCCGACAAATACGCACGCACGCACGCGCGCAAACCAATTTCAGAGTCAATTGGATTGTGTGAGGCGTGACCATCTGTTCGACTGTTACCTCTGTACATGCCGTCTTTGGCCCCACACAATGTGCCTAAGGCAAGGCGATGGACACGATGAGCACAGCCGGGTGGGTGGGCTTCTGGTAGATGGGGCTGATTTTGGGAAGGCGGTTGTCAATTAATTTTAAGACGTGCAGTGGCGGAGCTGTTTATCGCGCGGTAATCAAATAATCACTGCGCTGACTACTGCATCACTTCTGATTGTATGCCATCTGCGGAGACTGGGGAGAAGGGGGGGAGACGAACGAGAGCAAGTGTTTCGCCAATCTTGGTTATGCTGGACTCTGGGAAAATTGGCAGTGAAGGCTCGCTAAGCAGTTCACTTCGCAAACTTCACAAATGCCCACAGTGAGCAGTTCATTTTCCTCAGATTATCAACCCGGATCTCTTACTTTTGCTAACTTGATGGTTTGTGTTTAAGACTTATGTAGGTCGCCATCGGCTGCATGAAGAGGGTGGGCAGTTATTAAGATCTACGAAAGCTAGGAAAAAAATATTTTTTATAATGTATCGCAATTTATTTGGGCTTCATGTTGAACACGGGGGTAAGCGCCTACCCCCTTATTGCTGGTGGGTTTACGCTGAATTTTCGGTATTACCCATTCCCGCGTCCTGACTTTAGCCACAGTCACAAACCTAACTCCCCTCTCCCTTTGGAATTTGGCGCAAGATCATTCGTAATACGGAGGGTATTTATTCCCGTACCCTGCCGCATATCCCTTTTCCCATTGTGTTGTTGAACTTCATACGTCTCCTAAGTGATCATTCGCTAAGTCCATTTTATGCACGCTTATACATATTATATATATATTAATTTCTGAAATTATTCACCTGATATATATATATATATTAATTTCTGAAATTATTCACCTGATATATATATATATATATCAGCGAGGAGGGACGACAGAGAATAGATCGGTGTGCGCCCATTCCTGATATATATATATTCAATCAGGAATGAGACCACACCGATCTATTGGCTTCACGAAGGAAACCAGCTCCGCATGGGTGGCAAAGGTCACGAACAGGCAACCAGTTATCAGGCCGGAAGTCGGCAAAATCATAATAGCAGCAAGGCGGGACGACAGAGGATGCGGGTATATTGATACAGTACTGTTTCGGGCTTATTTTGCCTTCATTCAGACAATCATAACCCTGACCAGTAGCTGGGACCAGAAACACAAACCTACGCACAGACGCAGATGGCGCAGTTGGTCCACCACTGGGGTCTACCAGATGGGTCATAAGCACTTCATCGAACAGAAGTCTACCAGTGTCCCGTCATCTACCATTCTCTGTCGCTGCAGATCTGATATTTATTCACTCAGGAATGGGCTTGTTTGCTTCGGGAAGCCAATGGGTCAGTGCGCACCCATTCCTGCATGAATAAATACCCGATCTGCAACGACAAAGAAGGACAGATGACGAGACACTGATGGACTTCGGTTCGAGTAAGTGTTTATGGCCCATCTGGTAGTCCCAAGTGGTGGACCAACTGCGCCCGCCGCGTCTGTGCGCATGTTTGTGTTTCTGGTCCCAGCTGCTGATCAGGGTTATGATTGGCTGAATGAAGGCACAATAAGCCCGAAACAGTACTGTATCAAGCTACCATACATGTACATATGGTAGAAGGACGCTCACGTATCGCATTGCGGAAGCCGCTCGTCCCTTGTGCCTTCGGGCTCTCTCTCCCTCGAACCCCTCCAGCAGTTGCAAAGCGGCTCACACTATGGGCGGACTAACATTGCCGACAAACGCAAGAGAGACTGGAATGGCCATTTCTGGCTTTTTAGTCGTCTCCAGTCGATCATGCCCAACCCCGAAGTGCGCAACACCTGGGGCTCGAGCTCGCAACCTGTTAGTTAGAAGTCCAGCGTCCTTACAATTGAGCCACGGGTTCGTTGTCCTATCGGTTGAGATCGGGTATAATA